TCACCTCATCTTCTATTCTTCATGGCATTGAATTCATCAAGTGGTTAGAAACTTAACCTGCAGCAGGCATAGCTGCTGAATATTGCTGTCTTGACAAGAGTATAGGTATTCATCTGACTAAACTTGCCTCCAGTTAAGGGAAATAATGCAATATGAGTAATCGAATGGATTCAAGCCCAGGAAACGGACCATTCTTCTGAAGTAAAGCAGCAAGTCGTTAGATAAAAAGAATTTGTGTCCTTCTCAGAAATGCTACAAACCAGCTTCATCCAGTTTCTAAAGATAAATCATTGCTGAATTTAACTTTGAATTTAACTAAGTGCTGGCCAGAACACATTAATGAGTTCAATGATGCTGAGAGCAAGAGGTTTTCAATACTATCACCCCAAATAACACGTAGCCACAATGATCAATGGGTTCATAGGCTAGCCATTCCCAATGGCCTTCGTTACCTAAACTCTGAAATCTGTGTTCATCTTCAGTGTTTAAACTGGGTAAGAAAGTTATATGCAAAATGAGGCAAAAAGAAGCATTTAGGTGAGGTTGTCTTGCACGCCGCACCCCTGCCGTCAGTTATTTGGCAGGTCAGGTAACAAGCATTGCAGTGAGCATGGAAAACGGGAATATTTACAGGAGAAATGAGAGCATCTAAATTGTCATAAGGGTAGTAGCAATAATTATGCACACAGCAAAACAGAATACTCTGTTACGTCCTTCAGATTTGTTACCCAGTTCCTTGCTATTCTTCCCCAGTGGATTTTTGTATGTGAGGCAATTTTGATTAAGTCATCAATCTTGAATGCCTTTCCTGAACATTTATCATTCCGTAGGCCTGGGAAAGAATAACTATCTGTTTTGAGCCGATAATAAGGAAACTGAAATATCCCTGCTTTTCTTTACCATTGCCCATTTTCCTTCCTTCTCCCAAATTGAACAAAAAACCAAACCCAAGTGCATATTAGCTTTACAGAAAGGCACATAAATGTGGTTTTTTCCCCCCACACCAGGACATTTCAAAACTAATCATCTCATGTATGAATTTCATAGAGCCACCGTTGCACATTATTGTGAGTTGCCCTGTTCCCTTAGATTGAAATTAAGCAATGAATCCCCAAAAGGTAATAGGTTTAAATTTTGAACTTTTACTCCGTGTTGGACAGAACATCAGGACAAGAGCTGACGTGCTGACACCTGAATATGTTTGGAGAGAGAAAAAGGATACTGGCCCATTAGAGCCATCTTTCCAGGAGTTTTTCCACCTTCTCTCCCTGTAAATTGCCGCTGGAGTTGTTGTTCTAGCAACACTAATGGCAATTAGGATCTGAAAGCTCTCAGTCAATTAAAGCAGGCAGTCTCAGGCAGTGGGAGATCTGCCGCTGGACTGGCTGGCAGCGTGTCTTTTCCAAAGCTGTCATTGTCCTTGTCCCTCTAAACAGAGACGATAAGTAGAAATTATTTACGGTGACAGGTAAGAACAGTATCTTTTCTTGATGTCTCATGAACCGCCTTTGCTTTTAGAATAAATCTTAACAGTCAGGAATCACTAAGCATGAAATATATGCTTAAGGCTTACATCTCTAAATAACAATTATCAGATTCCTTTTCACAATAAGCAGAAGGCTTTTTCATGTATCCAGAAATCTATTTAATATTTCATGGAATCCTAAATTATTCACAGGTTAAAGTGTTCAACTGTTGCTGTCATTTAAAGAGCAAGTGCCCAGCAGGAGTCTTGCATGGGGCTTTGTAGATCACGTCAAAGCATAATGTTTGATTCATTAAAGAAGTGTTGTACTTCCAAAGGTAAAAGCATCCAATTTATATTCTGTTAATCCTGGCCTGACTATTAAAAGGCACGGTGAGATTTCCTGGTTTGATTCTTATCTACCTGCTCAGTAAAACTTCTCACTGTCCCACAACAAATTTGGGATCCCAAGTCACCTGGTACTGTTCCAAGAAAATCTGTGAATTCTGTTAGGTGGAGAAACTTTCTCTTCTTTTTCTGCAGTCCTGTATAACTAAAACAATATGCTTAGTTTTCAGTGCAGCTCATAACATTGCTCAGCTTTCTGGAAATGGTATGCACGAGTAGACTATCTAGAGCTTGACATTGATGTAAATCGGGGTAACTCCCCAAGCTTTGTCAGAAACTGGGGTCTAGTTTTTTGCATCCTAAGGAAATGTCATCCCTGATCTTCTCATTTCCTCAAGCTTTCCCTGCTCAAATAAAGTGAAGGTAGTAAAATTAAGTTCCCGTGATTTATTTTTGCTTTTCGGTGTCTGCTTGAATCCCTTGAAAACTTCGTTAAAAAGCACTTTTGGAAAATAAAACAGGAAAATAAAAAATGAGGAAGAGGAGGAAGGAAGTTTTCTTCACTTAAAAGCCTCTTTGGCAAGGACCGTCTTTCCTACTCTGCATTTTGTAAGCACCTTTTACTACTGCATATTGGTTTCTGCAGTTCCTCAGTCCCATCGATAATTTAAATAACTTAAACACAGTGAAAGCTTGATTTTTTTTTTTTTTTTAATATAAAGTGCTTATCCTCCATATGCTCCTGCCCCGTGGGGCCCGTTGACCGTGGTGCCACGCAAGGGCATGTGTCCTGAAGAACTTGGTGGCAGTGGTTGGCAGCAGTGGTGCGGTGGCTGTACCCAAACAACCGTCCTGACTGTTCCTCAGGCACGACTCACCCGTTTGGAGAGGGCAGAGCGGAGGCATCCCCCAGGTCTTTCCTAGTTGCTCTTGGGATTTTGGGGGTGTGGGGAGGAAGCAGCTCTGCTGGGGCTCCCCCAGCAGCAGGGTTGCAGCCCTTGGGCTTGCTCTCCCAGCAAGAGCTTTGCTGAGGCATTCGTGAACTTTTTGTCTGTAATAGGAGGGAGGGAAAAAAATCAAGGCTTGTCCTGCAAAAACTTGACTAGCTTGCTGTTGATCGTAGCAATAGGGAACTCAAAAAGGATACAGTGAAGTCGCCTAGGAATTTCTTACTAGGTGTTCACCGAGATCTTTAACCAGTGAGAGAAGGATGTGTATAAGCTAGGATGAGCCTTTCCATTTATACGCTGATAAGAAACTGCACATTGTTTAGTACTGATTTTCCTCAAGAGAGGGAGTTTAATTCTCTGTTTTATGGACAAGTTTCTCTCCAAAGAGTAATATTTTATTATTCTGTTCTACAACACAAGCAATCACACTACGTAGAAATATAGAGCATATGTAGAGGAGGGGAAGACCCTAAGTAGCCCTTGGAAAACACCTAGGATGAGGGAGAATGACTGCAGTGTTGTTCACAGGGTCCTGAAGGTAGAGTCTTCTTTAGAAACAACAGAAAGATGGGGAAATGGAGGCATTAATGTCCATCGATCTTCAGATAATGTCCAGGAATCATTCCCATGTGCGCTCACACGTGCCAACTGACCCTGCTCCCACAGCACTGATTTCTTTTCAGTCCCCAGAGCTGCTCTTTGTTTTTAAAGCTGCTGTGCTGACTCTTCAAAGGGTGCTGGATTTTCATTTGATGAGTTACAGAGTTATCTATTCTTGTCTGTTAATTGCATGGAGAAATTTCTCTGTGACTTGTTTTCAAAGTCGTAACGGCATTATTTCTTACTCTATGTCTGTAAGGTTTTGAGTGGAAGGAAACTAAATGGTTCTGATATTATTTCAGGTAATTCAGATACTTGTTTTCATTTTTGGGTTTGGGGGCTTCCTCAGATTGTGTGTTTGTTTCATAGATGAGACCTGCTGAAATGATTACTGTTTGGCATTTGTCTCTATGAGAAATAGTTCCTTTAAGCAAGTTCTGCGCAAGAGCGGAGAGGCTAATCCCATGCCTCTGACAGAGGGTTATTTTTACATAATTATTTGTCCAGCCTCTCAGTAACATGATATCAGGAAATAAGAACGATAATGTGACACTGTGCTAAGTGAACCCCAATCAGGAAACTAAGAGGACTTTGTTGGGATTAGAAACTTGATACAGTCTTTTCCTTTGTCACAGAAGTATGTTTTCCAGCAGATAGACGTGTTGGATTTTTCCAGCAGTAAGGTACATGATTTATTGGGGACTCACTGATTGCCATGTTTCAGAGAAATAAAATGAGTGATAGGTTGGAAAGGGAAGACAAAGAAACAGGGTTTGCAGAGACACAGTAGGAGATAGCCCAGCCCTGCAATCGGGTGAAAAGCCTGCAGGGCTTCTCCCTGCCTCAGTGTCAGCATCTCTCCCACACAGATTTTTAAGCACACACTTGGACCTCAGCGGAAATCAGCCAGGAAAATATTGCGAGATAAATACTCTGGAGTTGTATTCAGCTGTCCTTTGCGGAGCACAAATTCGCTCATAGTCTTTCTTACCTTCACTCCCATTTTGATCGTGGGGCAAAGGCATGGGATACAGCCTGGTTGTCTCAGGCATCTCATTTACGTCCAAGATGCTGAGTGGGTCAGTCCTGCTAAAGTAGATCCCCAAGTTTCCATCCCAAGGCGATGGAGAGCTGGGTTTCTCCTGCTGGCCTCCAGCAGGAGGGTCACTGGGCTTTGGGCACTCCCCTGTGCTCGGAGGAGCAGGAATCCCTCCCAGAGGCTTTCACAGGCAATTGCCTCTGTCCAGCGGCACAGGGGGACATGGGTATGTCCTCTGGGAGCGTCCAGCTCTGGATACGTGGCAGTCAAGTGTTCAGGCTAGACTGTTGGATCTCACCTGAAGTGTATATGACTTCCAGTTCCTTCCCAGTGCCAGGTTCTGTCAGAGGCACCCAATGATGGGAACCTTGCTCTGCACCATAGGTGGGGTATGAGGTGCAACCTGGAACACAGTAGGGGTTTTCTCTATAATGTATTTTAGACAACAAAAGTGCTGCCCATAGGAAAAGTTGTCTGGTCTGTGCTTTGCATTGGTATGTTTGGATTAATGCTGCTACCTTATTTCAGCATTGGGTGGTGGAAGGTGAACAAGGCGTGTGTATTAAGAGCTGTTTCTGCTCTGGTTTCTGTTTCCCAGGGATATGAAGCTGGATGGTGGACGCCAGTGCCATTCTACTGGAGTGTGTCTGAAAGAGATAATTGGTCTTGAAGGTGTGGAGCTTGGAGCGGATGGGAAGGTGGGGATGCTTCAGTTCCTACTCCCTTAGATTTTATGCAATAAGGGAAAAAATGTCTTAACTAATAACAAGCACAAATATAAACATTAATTACAACATGCAGTGTAACACAGTAGTTAAAGCACAGTATGTGCAAACTGTAAATAAGCTTAGCAGAAATTCAGGAGGACTGCCCAAGCTGGCAATGCAAACAACTGTGTCTCCTTGAAGAAATTGGCCTCTAGCAACATCTGAGTCTGTAAGGCATTACTGAATCGTGCAGCCTTCCCCTGGCTCTAGCAGGAGGTATCGCTGCAGAGTATATTGTCAGGGGCTTGAAAATAATTTCTGGTGAGAGTTGTAAGCTGTAATTCTGTTTGCTCTCAACTTTATTTAATAAAATAAATTTTGCCTAACAGTATATTTTTCCAACAAGCAGGAAGACAGTAGTACAAGTCTGATGAGTATTGCAATATTCCAAGAGTGCATTCACTTGAATAGAGTAAGCAATTATGAATCCTTAGGGAAAGTGATCCGTTTTAAAGAAATACATAGAGGAGAGACAATTTTAATCATAAATGAAATAATTTTTTGCTGAAAGCCTGATTTACCTTTTACAGTTCAGTTTACCCAGTCTGCTGTGATATATGGTTTTAAAGGCCCTAGGTCAATGCTGCTACACATGGTGTGCTCACCTAACCAGGTGTCAGGCCAGACCACAGGCTGTAAATTCCTGAGGACAATCTGTCTGCTTATAAATAAATGAAAGCTCACATGTTTTATTTGATACCTATTCTGACCTCCTCATAAACCAGTCTAGAGTCTGAGACTCATTTTTTTCTTCAATATAAAATGTTATTTTTGGAAAATAAACCTACAAGAAGCAAGGCGTAGCCTATTCCTGGCCAAGGGTACAAGCAGAGAATCGGTACGCTCTAAAAATAATTTTGTCACAAGTTACTCATTCACACTTAGTCCATGTTGGGAGGGAGTAAATGATCTCCCACAACCATTGCAATAAACTGGAGCTCTCTTATGACACCAATAAGACTCTGCCAGACAAAATCCTAAAGGAGAAAAATACCAGAGAAAGTGCTTAAGTTTAGCAACGTTCAAGTGATTTGCCTCTGGCAGCTCTGTGCTGAGGGGCCCGTATAGATGATGCTGTTTCAGTAAAGAAGCAGCTGAAACCTGCTACAGAGAAGGCCCACTGAAAAAAACCCAACCAAATTGACATATTTTTAAATCTGACCCTTGAGTAGGATTTTGTAAATCCAGTGTATTAGAGCTTGTGTGTGTGTGTTTGTGGTTTTGTTTTGTTGAAGAATTAATGCCTTTGCAAAAGCTTTTTTTGCATGGATAAACTGACTGCACTGAAGCAAATGTAGGTGACTGGTGTTTATTCATCTGTGCCTAACTATTAAATCCAGAAAATCCTTCGCTAATTTGGCTTCCCTTGCTTCCGATTGGGATGCACCAAAGGCATCCTGCTGCAGCCGAGCTGGGCTGATAGTAACTAACTGTCCATTCTGACTTTCTTTTTAGACGGTTTCTTATACACAGTTCCTGTTTCCCACCAACGCTCTGGGAACTCGGAGAAACACGATAGACTCCACCTCATCCTTCTCCCAATTTCGCAATGCAAGCCATCGTAGCCTTTCTTTGGCAAGAGCTAACAGCACCCAGGGGAGCATTGATGCAGGTAACTTCTCAAGAAGCTTGTTTTAATATCCTTGTGTAGCCTGGTGATAGGCAGGTATTGTGAAGGACGGACATATGTCATGTTTTAGCCCCCTTTTTTGCTTAAATTAAGCAAAATATAGTCTCGTGTTGTGGGTGAAACGGAGCTCGTTCCCTGTTTGTTTAGCAAAGCTGGCTTATGGATGGTGGAAAGTTAAGTAAACAAGACTGCTGGTCATATTGACAGCCCCTGATGGCACTCGGCGTGCCTCCTCCTGTCACCAGCATTGTTTGTTCCTCCTGCATCAGGCTCATCGTTACCTTCCTTTGCTATGGAAAGTTTACAGGGGCAACACAGTAGTCATAAGCTGAAGGTGTAAATCGTACTTGTGACCTTTATTAGGCTGGAAGGGGCTGTGTTTACAAAACCCGGCACAAAACACAAGCCAAAGCACTATGTGCTTAAGATATTTTGGCATGTTGAATGAAACAAACGAAAACATCTGCGTAAACAGATGAAAACTTGTTGCCGGGAATAAAAGTCATTGTGGAGCTTTATATAATTTTGCAGTTCTCTAAGCCCTAAATTCACATTTACCAGGTAATTCATAAGCTGTAGGTCCTCCATATCTTTGCAAGTTGTATTAGTAGAGTTTTCAAGATTTAGAGAAATCTTTTGACTCTTTCAAAAATCTTGCATGAAGATCATTTGTACATTATTTGTGAACTCGTTTGCCACTTCCATTAAGTCCAGAGATTTCTTGATGTAATGAATTCCTTTCTTATATTTACCATTGTTTTATAGGTAGCGACCTGGGAGACTTTGTTGAATATGACCCAAATCTTTTAGATGATCCCCAATGGCCATGTGGCAAACATAAGCGGGTTTTAATATTTCCTTCGTATATGGTAAGTGATATGCAAAATTAGGTGTAGCACAGATAAATTTTGGTAGCAATATTTTGAAGGTTGACGTTACATTTGGCCATATTTTAAGAAGACTATTATTATTTTTAATCTACTAATAACAGCTGTTTGAAATGCTTTGTTCTAAATGATAGTTACTTACACGGACATGTAAAAACAAACTCGTGGAGGTATTACAAAAGTAAATGCTTTTATTACCACTGTATTTCATAAATGCTTTAGATGAAAGGCTTGTTCAAACAATGCGTTCATTCTCTTGCATTCAGAGGAAAATTTATACTTCCTCTAATTGGCATCTATTACAAAATAGGAGGATGCCCATTAGGGTTTTTCTGAAGTCATGAAGCTGCATTGTGTTTTGATGCTTATCATTCACTCCTTGGAACAGCGCTTCGGTGTCTAGTAGAGCATTTGTTTCCCAGGTATTTATTTCACCATGGGATAGTCCTTCCTTTAATTGCAGCAATTACGAGCAGAGCCTGTATATTTTTCACTATATCCAAACCTGTAACAATACAGACGCATAACTGTTCCTTGATCTGTGCTCTAACTCAATGTTTTCTGTGGTGAGGGACTTACGTAGCCTTTTTTGGGTGGAACCAAGTCTGTAGACTTTGGTGTGCTATTTTGGCAGGACTGTTGCAAGATGCAGTGCCGTCATATGCATGTGAGCACGTATCTGTCTGAATTATACATCTAAAGTAGTAGTAGGCAGCAGGGAAAAGCTTCTTCCCCCCCCTGCCCCCCAAGTGGTGACCCATTACTCTTACCTATATACAAATAGGATAGGATTTGAAACACTGAGGTCTAAAATGTCGTCCATGTCCTCACTTAACGTGGAACAGAGATATGATTTAAGAAACTACTAATGGATGTAAAGATACAGTCTTTTTAGGTTCTTTTCTGCCCCCCGCCCTGGTCTCTATTTAATAATAGGGCTCCTGGGTGCTCCTTCTTCAAAATAAATGGATTTTACATGTTGCATATAGACTGAAGCTTATCTTCTTGCTGGCAGGAGTGTTCTGCCTGTTGCACAGAAAGGCTTAATCAAGCTCTGAGGCTGTGTTTGTGCTAAATTTTCAAGTGGGAAGTCCAGTATGTCCTCTGCTTACTTTCAGCCAGTTTTACTTTCAGGGTTAGCAAGTTATTTTTTGGCTGCCAACCCACAAAGTGTCAACCTTTTATGGCAGCTACAGCTGGGCGGGAAAATATTTATTAGGTTTTGATATGGTTATTGTCATGGACAGGGAACTGTCTTCCCTCAAACAGAAAGATGTTGTTAACTGGCATCCAAAGTGAACATAGCTTTAGCAGCCATGGTTCTGTTTCCAACTTTCCTCAGGCTGCGAACGTGCGCCAGGCAATCTGAGTCCTCTGGGATCACCTGAGGTCTTTGATCCCTTTTCAACCTGGTGCTGAAATGGACGTGGTTGGGCAAGTCAAAATAGGACAGCCAGGATAGTGTCCTGTAGAGGAAGTCTCTGAGGCCCAGGAACGGGTGTTCGATGCCCTTCTGTTCCATATGCTGGTTAACCACAGCATTTTGATGTACTTTTATTGCAATAAGGAGCTGACTGGGGATTTCCACTGTGACAGAGGTATGATTAGATGCTTTAAAGGTGAAAAATGGACTTCAAGGGCAGTTGTTAAAATCAGTGTCATTGTTTGTCTAGACTATATCTGCATTGACAAGGGTCTCCCTGCTTTTTCGTTGTCTCTAGGCATTAATTACTTCTGTGTCTGGGAAAATGCCTTATTTCACATTTTGGGGTTTTTTTGCCTGAATTTGCCTTCCAGCCATCACTTCTTCAGCACTGCCTGAGGGTCTGCAGCACTTGCGTCTCCCTCTCTGAAGGCAGGCACTAATCTAAGAAAGGGCTGAAGGACATGAAGTGCTGTGTTTCTTTTGTTGGTGGGAATAACTGGCACATGCCAAGAGCTCTCTTGTCCAAGGCCCAAGGATTTTGCCTGCCCCTGGTCGAAGCAGCATAGCTGTGATGCCACGCAGGAGCTGCACAGCTTTGCAAGAAACCGAAGAATGGGCGGTTGTTCTTCAGGGCTCGTCTGAGAGATTTCACAAGGGGCTGGTGCTTCCTTCAGCCGCGAGAAGGGAGAAAAGGTAGTGTCGGAGTGTCCGGGAGCTTGCAGGTTAAATAGGATTTTGTAACTCGGGCTGTGGGTAAGGAGGGCTCGTGCGTCGAGCTGGTGAATATAGGGCCATACTGGCTATGTAGGAGACTCTCCTCGCATCCATATTAGACTTTCCGGACTCAGCTGGCATTCCCCCTCCCTGTAGTTCACATCAGTGTGAACAGGAGCATAATAGGCTGTAATTTCAAGTCATTTTCTTCCCCAAATATAAAAATCGGTGTATGCTGCAATTAAAGCAAATTGCAGTCTGAGGCCAGCGAGAAACCTGTGTTTTTTTCCTGACTGTGCACAGCCATCGCGGTATTGAGAGACCTCTGCCAAATCACCGTGGAGCTGTAGAGCTGCTATACACAGATTGAAACCAGTCTCTGGTTCTGAGCGGAATACAGCTGTAATTACTGCCTCTTGCAAGTGCCGGAGCAGCTGAGAGCGGCTCTGATGTCAGCGCTGAACATTTTGGTGTGTGTGGAGAGCTGCAGCTTGTAATTAAAGTTTCGTTACTTGGCCAGCATTTAGCATTAATGCTTGGCAGCTGCAAGCTTGCAGGTATTTCCCCCCGCCCCTTATGGATGTCAGAGCAACTAAGGGGGAGAAGGTGTGCGAGAGGAGTGTGAACATATGGCGGTGTGGATGAGTGAGGCTGGATGCTGGGCTGCAGCGCTGACTGCGGAATAGGGCTACATGCACCGATGTTACTCCTGGGAGCCTGGCTCATGCTTTGCAGGCCAGGATTTCTCTGCTGGTAAAACTCCGTTGAGGTCTGTGTGAATGCTGCATCACTAAACACCGCAGGCTTTATCCTGAGGCATAGGACAGGCAAAACGTGTGGTCCTGCTTGGATTTTGCTCTGAAATACGTGCAGTTAGCACTCGAGCATATGCGACATGCAGTTCCCTCCATTTTTGTGGAGCCTGAGTTTATCATCACTGACATTGACTTTATAGTCTTGTAACTTTACTGGGCTGAATTATTCCTGACTCGCAGAGGATTTTTAACTGCGAGTCCTCAGCTGTTTTCAAGGAGTAGCTGAGCTTCCTCCTTGAAGATAACTGTGGGGAAGGAGAAGTGCTTTCGGTTTGTTTGTTTTTTACAGCAAAGTTCCTAGCTTGAAAGGGTATACACTGCCCTGTTGCATTTCTAAAAGTAATACCCACAACAGCCTGTCAGGGAATGATTCTGAAAAAGCAGCTTCAGTACTTTCCCAACACAAACTCTACAGCTTCTATTAATTGTGTTAATCATATTTAAATTCTGGTCTACCCCGGAGAAATTATTTTGCTTTATGTTGGCTTTGTAGGAGAGCCTACAATCTCCACCGCAATATAAACAGTAAGAGGTAGAAGAATTTCATGCTGGGGGGCAGGGGGAGGAGGGAAACAACATGTCACGGTTAACAGATGTCTTCCTGGCTGATACTGCTAAAACAGGAATTCTTGCAGATTCTTAAATCTCTCTAGAATGGGAACTTTATCTACCAGACGGAGCAGTAATTTCTGTGCTCGAGTCTCACGTTGACCAGGGTCAACGTACATCCAAACTCGTCAGTGCCTCCCTGGCCTCCCTGCACTCTTGCCAGCAGAAACAAACTCCTTCGGTGCAGAAGGAGAAAACTCACCCTGCAATGGGCATGCGTCAGACCCCCGCAGTCCTGCTTTTGTTGGTAACACCGAAACGCGGGAGTGTCTTCAGCTGGCTGCTGTGCACTGCCAAAACTTGCAGCAAAAGAAGAAAAGCCCATATCAGTAGTGTCTTGACTTTGCGTGACCCTTCTGTAATAACATCCCTGCAATATCCATCTATCCGTGCCCAAGGGATACACTTGGAAATTGGTTTGGGTAGTTAACTACAATTTCAGGGTATTGGCTTAATTATCTCAAAATAAATTGACATCTCTACACCACTAATAAAAAATCATGTCACAAAACTCTGCAGTGCTCTTACAGCGGGCTGACCATCAGCCTGCATTCGCCAGGTACTGCACTAGTGTCGAGCACAGCCAGGCTACGTTATTAAGTATTAGTCCTCCAGTGTGATTTTAAAATTAGAACTGCTTGCTGCCCTGGCTGTTTAGTCTAACAAAAGCCCTGCATGATGATATAGCGGATTCGGTCTCTCGCTCCCCCGTTCTGTCTTTCACAAGGAGCATCAAGGTCAGGAGTACTCCGCTACAGCCAGCGGCCTTCGGTGCTGTCACCCTATTCTTCGAGCCACTTCCGTAGTTTTAAATTAAGCATCTCCAGACTGCTTTTTTATCAGCTGCTGACCTTGTACCCAAAAGTCTCAGGGAGCAAAGGATCACAGTGGGGGTATATATTCATAGTTAAACCCTGTGCTCTATGCATTTGATGCTATGTTTGGCTGAGACTCAAATAAACAACTATTTTGTAACAAGGACACACTGTATTAATTGAGAATGATTCCAGTGTGTTAACCATATAAAATAAACTAGTGCCCTTCCATGTACTTTAACGCAAAGAGGCAGTTTTGAGATTATTTGCTTTGTGAAATGCGAAATCTTTCAGTTTAAGATCCTTGAATGTTAATAACTTTCTAACAACAGAAACATCTTCTTTTAGTCTTCCTTTTCCTTTTTTTTGTTGGGTTTTTTTTATTATTATAAATAAGGCATCACTCTCATTTTCCATCACCGTTTTAAGCCTCTGCTCTGTCAGGATTTCCCATATATATGCATCTTCAGCCATAAGTATATGAATCAGGTTACTGACAGTTTATAGCTATATAGCTGGTCACCTGTGATAGGCATTAAGGTAGCCAGGCAGTGCAGAATCAATTGACTTCTTTTCATTTGTTATGTGGTTGAGAACTTACCA